TCTTTGAGGAAACCCTATACCAAAAAACTGCTTCAGGTATTATCACAAAACACGATCGTTATACAAAGAATGTATCGATGCTTATTAATTTATGATGTTTGTTTTCGATGCACAGGCAAGCCCTTTGTTGACCTTTTGAAGGAAGGTGGTGTCCTCCCTGGCATCAAGGTCGACAAGGGTACCGTTGAGCTTAATGGAACTAACGGTGAGACTTTCACTCAGGGTCTTGATGGCCTTGCACAACGATGCCAGAAGTATTATGAAGCAGGTGCTCGCTTTGCTAAATGGCGTGCTGTTCTTAAGATTGGCCTGAACGAGCCATCTGAACTTGCAATCCAAGAAAACGCCAACGGGTTAGCCATGTATGCTTCCATCTGCCAGCAGTGTGGCCTTGTCCCCATCGTCGAGCCCGAAATTCTCGTTGACGGATCACACGACATTAAAAAATGCGCTGAAGTGACGGAGCGAGTCCTTGCTGCTTGCTACAAGGCTTTAAACGACCACCACGTCATGCTTGAAGGTACTCTTTTGAAGCCTAACATGGTGACCCCGGGTTCCGACTCTCCCAAGGTTGCACCAGAGGTCATCGCGGAGTACACCGTCCGTGCCTTGCAGCGTACCGTCCCTCCCGCAGTCCCTGCAATTGTATTCTTGTCCGGTGGACAGAGCGAGGAAGAGGCTACCCTTAACCTTAATGCCATGAACAAGCTCCAGACCAAGAAGCCATGGTCGCTCTCGTTCTCATTCGGACGTGCCCTCCAGCAGAGTACTCTCAAGGCTTGGTCTGGAAAGGAGGAGAATGTGAAGAAGGCACAGGCTGCTTTTCTTGTTAGGTGCAAGGCCAATTCGGAGGCGACTCTCGGTACGTACAAGGGCGATGCAAAGCTCGGTGAGGGTGCTGCCGAAAGCCTTCATGTCAAGGACTACAAATACTAAGAAATAAGAATAGTCTTTTGGTATATTGTGCCATGTTTAGCAGAGTTAATTTGGGTATTGATATTTAGACTTCTAGTGCTCTTTTGTTTTGTTTTGTTTTTTCTGCAGATGCTCATGGAATTTAGGTTGTGATATACAGAGTTAATACAAAAAAATCGTATTATATTAATAAATATATAAAAATATTAAATATTAACAAAAAATATTAATATGTTTTATATATTTGTATTTTTTATTAATGTAAAAAGTATTCTGAATTTATTAACATTTTATATATTTTATAAAAATATTATATGTTTAATATTTTATAATACGAATATATTTTTATATTTTTTGTAATAAATATATTTAAATATTAACATGTTTTATATACTTGAATATGTTTTATAATACAAATAATATGAATATATTTTAAAAAATACAAATAAATATATTTTACAATACAGATATATTTAAATATCAACAAAAAAAATATTAATATGCTTTATATATTTTATTAATGTAAAAAAATATTCTGAAAATATTTATTAATATAATAAGAATATATAAAACATATTAATTTTTTTGTTAATATTTAATATTTTATTTATTTATTAATATTTATTTATTTATTAATATAATACGAATAGTAAATTTTTTTATTAATATAAAATATTATTTTTACATTTGTAGTTTTATTAATGTAAAAGATATTCTTAATTTTTATTTACTAATTATATTATTTATTGTATAAAGAAAATTTTACTAAAATACAAATTATATATTAATTTTTGTACAAATGTAACCAAGTGTAAGTCTTGGCTCAATGGTTTAGCGCTTTCTACCTCAACTAAGAGATCTATGGTTGAAATAATACATGCAAACTTGAATCTTCGTTCAGGTTATGAAATCCTCAAAATCTTAAAAAAATTGTTGCAAAGGTGAGATGGGAGAGACGTCAAACGTCGTTTCTATAAAAAAAAAATCAAAACAAAGCTCAAAAGAATGAAGGAAAAATGAAAAACAACGAAAAAAAATGAGAAATTAACAAAATAATTGAAAAACAAGAGAAGAATAAAGAAGAAGAACAGATAAGAAATGAGAAGAACAAAGAAGAAAGGACCGGCAGAAGTAAAGAAGAACAAAGAAGAAAGAAGAAAGGAGAAGCAAAGGAGAAGTGAAGGAGCGACAAAAACTGAGTGGGAAAATAAAAGGAACCAAAACCGTAAATAATATATATATATATATATCTAGAGTGAGAGAAGATGGTATTTTTGTAAATATTTTAAATATTATTTTATATTGTATCAGGTCGGTTCGGGTCGGATATTTTTTACTCTAAACTCTACTCCAACTCAAACCTGATATTCTCTCCCATACAACCCGACCGGTCTTCTATAAGGTCGGGTCAGAACAGGTCGGACTCAGGTTAAATGCCCATCCCTACCTCTAACATTCCTAATACTTAGAAACCGAAATTTTAATGAATAATAACAATTTATTTACCATGCGGTTGATTGACAATCTCGACTGCACTATAGAGGGACTGATTTTACAATCCAAAGGTGGCATGAATTCCACAAAAGTATCTAAATAAAATAAAACAAAAGAAACAACTTAGTCACCCCAGAGATTAAATTCCACAAAATTATCAAAATCATCATCCCAACAGAAGTACCCTTCTGCATGGCAGGTGGAGTTAAGATCAACGTCCGCCATGCTGTCCAGTATCCCCGGCATGTTAAACACCTCCTCTTCATCCACCACCAAAACCTCCGGACACCCTCCAACCTTTTCCGAGCAGGCCAATGGAGGCGGAGACGACGGCGTTTCACCATCACCGAAACCAACATCCAACGCGGCCTCCATGGCGTCGAACTGAATATCCACAGACGGAATCGGGGAAGTTGAAGGAAGCTGAATCTACCTTGAGGGCCAGAGCCGCCGCGTCGTACGCCTTGGCGGCCATGGCTGGAGCGGGGAATGTTCCTACTTCCTAGCCAGATTGGAGACTTGTTATTCGGGTCTCGAAGCTCTCTCACCCATTTCCCGTTCCTTCTCCTCACGCCTTTGTAAATAGGGTGGCGAGTCTCTTGAAACTTCTTCCTCCCGGCTTTTCGCTTCTGGAATTGGCTTGAACCGCCATGTTAATGGCTTTTTTAGCTAAACTCTGGTATGTGTTTCATTTGGTAAGACTGGGAGATGGTTAACTTTGTCTTACTCGTGTGGAATATATACATGACAACGGGTCGGGTTAAGGTCCGGATTTGATAGTTTAATTTGACTCGAAAAGTATGTATCATCTATCTGAATTCGATCGGATTCGAAAATCACATATCTTTTATCCGACTCAATTCAACCCAAAAAATATATATTTTCTACTTAATTCTGATCCGATCCGATTTGAAATTATTTTTTTAAACAATCTTATTGGATCAAATCAAAACCCATAAAACTCGAGTTAAATTGTCATCATAATATATATTTTTATTTGTTAGAGAATAAGATGGGGATTAAATATTGCATGAGGGTCGTGTTTCATGCTTTGATTTGGTTACACGTCATTAAAAATTTAACGATAACATTGATGTGATATTTTTAAATTTTTATTTTTTACTTTTCATTTAATAGTTCTTTTATTATTGTTTGACAAGATGGAGAATGTTAAAATCTATTCTCTTAAAAGATGACCATGATTGCTTTGTGTGAGCTTGAGTATTTAATAAAATTTCTTGAAGTTTTCTATTTAAAATTTGACGTATTTATTATATAGTTTATTAAACGTAGTTAAAAGAAATATATAAGAAATTTTATTTATCTATGCTTGTTCTCATGGTTCAGTTTTTTTCTATACTTGTTATTAGGGGCCTAATTTCTATGTTCGTCTCAAACCAACTAAAATCTGGCTTGAGTATAGGACTAAATAACGCTCAATTAAAGTGTAAAGACCAAATATCAAATGAAGCATAATAAAGGGGGCAGAAAGAAAATTTGACCTTTAAAGTTTAGATCAAATTAGGAGGGAAAGATGAAAGAGGTTAGAAATAAAAAGGCGGTACGACGGCAAAAGCAGCAAAATTCTCAAACTCGAACCGTCCGATGCTTCCCTTTCTTCCTCAGCTTATCTTTTCGTCATTCCAAAAATTCATAAAGGTTCATTTCCCGATCCAAATCTATTTCATTTGAATGTGTTTTTTCCCTTCTTTTAAGAATTCTGAAGTGTTCGAACGAATCGAGCTTTTACTGATGCGTTTCTGCGCATCTTTTGGTTTACAATGGAACGTGCTTCACCTTTTTTTTTTTTGGATTATCCGGCGTTGCGCTTATTTATTCATTTTTTATTGTTTCCATTTTAGCTTATTTGAGGTTAGAGATGAGCAGGATTTTATTCAGGTTTAGCGAATTGTTCCGACTTCCCATTTATTTTTGTTTCATCATTTCGGTTAACTTATTGTTCAGAATTTAGAACGTCGAGTTAATGGCTGTAGGATTCAGGCCATCTTGTACCCACTATTTCAGTGAATGTGATATCCAATATAGTGATAGATAATTCTAAGCTATTTCCATACCCGGAGAATTCATTATTTGGCTAAGAACGCAGAATTCCTCGGTTTTTTTTGTCGAAAATCGAAGTTTAATTGTTGGTTGGTTGTAAGGTAAAAGGTTAGCATTGAAACTCCGGAATGTGTTTAATGTGATCTGAATTGACGCCATTGGACCATCATTCAAATGTAGTGCTTGCATAACCTTCTCGACTGTCATTTTAGGACGAAATTTTCTGGTATTGTTTTTTGCTTAGTTTATACTTCATCCCTGTTTTTACCATACTGCAATCGCCTAAGCTTTACTTAGTTTATACTTCACCCCTGTTTTCACCATATTGAAATCGTCTAAGCTTTGTGAGCCGTCCATTAAAAAACCAGTCATTTTTCTTTTACACGTTTTTTACTTGTTTGTCGAGGACCTAAGGTAAACAATACCGTGTTTCTCTGTATACTTAGTTGCTTGAAGGTGGCCCAATACATATGCTTTAATTCTTGTTCTCTGTATAAAAGTTTTATCAAGTAGCATATGACAGTTTGCTGCAGCTGATTTCTGAAAAAATTCTCAAGGTTTGAGCATGAAACTAAATAATTACAACCTTTTTAAACAGCACACAGTCGTACACGCCTTTTCATTATAGGTTATACAAGGAATTTCACATTTGCCCACAAGCCAAGTCAGTGTTAAAAATTGCAATTCCACTTCTTCGTACATGGTTATTTGGTCAAGTTGACTTGTTTGGATCTTATGACTGCTATCATTTACCCGTCTTCTCCAGCACCCTTACGTTTTCCTTTGACCAATTTGCTGGCTGGGAAATGTAATCTAGCCATTAGGGGACGGGGTGCTCGTGATTTCTGGTCAAATCCCCTTACACAAACATATCCTGCAATTTATCAACAAACATTATTAAGGAAATGAAAAATTCGTTAAATGTCTTGGATTCTATCAGAAATGATTGATCATTTGCTAATTGTTAAGGAATTGAAAAACTAGATGTCACTATTAAAAAGAAGAGTTTTGACAGCATATTTTATTGCTACCTCTTGTGGTCAAAGATTTAGAATCATAGAACAGGGTAGGGCAGGTATTCAATTCTTGAAGGCTATGCTTGAGATTATTTAGCTAATGCTTGTAGTTTTGTTTAATCAAAAGATTTTGAATTTATGCTGTCTGAGAGCGCTAATGTCATAGGTCTTCACAAAAAAATGATAGTTGGGGTCCAAGGAGAGTGTTTCAGGATAAAAGTGGGTGAGCCAGTTTGTTAATTATTGATAACTATTTTGTTATTGTTAATTGCTAAGCTAACTTATGAGTTGGTAATTCAAGGGATGTGCTGAGAATTGTGGAAAATATCAAAGGGATTAAATTCTAATTTGAGGAGGATAAAGGAAGGGGCTAGCACGTTGTAAATGCAATATGAACAAGGTTGACTGGTTTGTGTGAATTCCTATCTCCCATCTTTTGTTAGAATTTTGAGCCGCAATAATTTCTACTCCAGATAAGATATTCAAATAGGGCTGTTTGAGTCATTTTAGTGTCCATTTTGGTTCAAAAATTGAAAGAGAGCCACAATTGCATGATTCATATAATCCCAGTGTTCATTTGAGATTTTTATATGGACAACAGGCAATGGACTTTGATGGAGTCTGAAGATGCTATAAGTCCAAATATATAGCAACATTGTCGTGCCTAGAAAATTAGGTACAATTTATGTGGCAGTTTCTAGATCTAGATTTTAATAAGTGGTAACAGGAAGTAATTGAAAACCCGGTTTGTCTTTCTTTTTTAGTTTTCCAACAATGAGTGTTCGCCGAGATCTTTATATGGATAACAGGCAACGAACTATGTTTTGATGAAGCTTGCAGATGATCTAAGCCCAACTATAACAATACCATTGTGCCTGGGAAATTGGGTACTACTTATGTGTGTTCGCTTGACAATTCCTAAATTTAGATTTTAGTACAAGGAGTGACTGGAAAGTGCTTTATCCACTTTCTATATATTTTTTAGGGCTTTATTTCTGTGAAGAAGTCCTTAGCAGCGGGGCCTGATACCTTAAATTAGAGAAAATTTTCTTAGGGAATTGAGGTCAACTTAGAACACATGCCCTTGGCAAGTTCTGTCAAGCCAAGAGAAGAAAGTGCTGCTATAATCATAATGATCTCTTCGTGATGCAATAAAAAGTACAAAGACATGGTCTGCTTGTCTTTTCTACGGCTAGATGAAAACATGGATATGTTTTTGATCCAGAATTCAAGGCTATTCCTGTGTAGCTATTCAAAAGATTTATGTTACTAAAATGTTTTGAAGATTGAAAGTTTTATGTAAACCTAAAGTAGGATGAAGTTTACTTACGGGTAGCTATTCAAATCAATGCTAACAGCACTACATGAAGTTACAATGGTTGATAATTCTCACCTTTCCAGAAGCAGTGTTGAATTCCCTCTGTTGTTAAGCCTGGTTATCAGAAAACAAGTCAGTTTTTTATCTTGCTACATTTATCAGCACAATCTTCTATTGAAATCTTCTAACCTTTAAATATTGAAGGTATGGAGGTCCCAAAGTAGACCATTCTCCTCGGCAGGTTCCATAGCCATTCCCTTGGAACGGCAATTGGTCTCAGACTAGAATCATGGTCAGCAAATACCTTCATAAGAATATTATTTTTCATATTCATTATTATTCCCTCAATAAATAAGAAAACAACTGTAAAGCTTGAAGGAACTGCTTCAACCAGCATGGTGAACTTACCTCGTTAACTTGGAAGTATGTGCCATTTAGGGGAAAACTCCCTCTCATTGCTGTTCGACATGGTATCTGTTTAAGATGTTTTATCATATAGGTTTGCATATGATATTCTGAATTAAGATCCTAAATGGAATAGTTATATTTCTTCATACTATTTATCAAATCTATTTTCTTACCAAAAGTGTTCCCCGGACAATATGAGATTCTGCTTCCCGAATACTGTTGCAAGAGAAACATGTTTCCTCATCACACAATTTGCCAAGCTCTTGGGCATTGCACCTTCTTTCAGGCATTTGAGTGGAGTTTGCCGTTTCACCTGGTGTAAGAAAAATATTATGTCATCTCTAGAGGTCTAAAGGAGTTTATTATACCATGTTATTAAATGTGTCCATACCTGGAGTCCAGATGGCAAGAAGGTACTTGCACGGGTCATCAGGTTCTCGTTTATCCAACTGTAAGTTCACCATAAGCAACTCATATAAGAAAAACTCAGTTATAGAAATATGGAAAATATTCTTGTTTGAGTGCATAGTCAGAAACAACTAACCTCGTTTAGAAGAGGGTGTGAATCTGGAAGTTCATAGCTGTAGAATAGGATGGGTTCAAGGAGCAGGGAAGGAAAGAAAAAAAGACAATTAGTATGAAATGACAATATTTCTGCTACCATTTTTGGCAGAACGTTTCTTTGGTTGAAGGTTGCTTATCTCTCTTTATCATGTTTCACTAACTCAAAGACTTTCCTATAAGTACAACAGTATGATGGCCGTATTGTATTAAAAATAGTTTAAGAGAGAATACTGAAAATTCTTACAATTAAAGTTTAAGTTCAATTATGAGCAATTATCTAAAACTAGTAATAGTAATAGCATTTTACATAAAATAGTTAACTTTGGTCTATGTTTCCAAGACTTCAGAGATATGGAAAGTGCCTACTTACACTTGGTGCTCTGTCCTTAGCCGGTTGACATTCTTAAGTTTGGGCGTGGGAATAGAAGCAGCTTCTGCTGTTAAAGCAACTAAAGCCTTTGACATATCCCCTTCCTGAAGTTCCATGTTATTTTGCATATAATTCTGCAAAGTTTGGGTGAACTCTTCCATGTTAAGCTTGATTGTAGGAATTTCATCAGGGTCTTCAGAGAACATGTCCTCAATGTCATTTTCTGCTACTTGTGTGCTCTCAGGTTCTGGACTTGCTGGCTCTTCAATGATAGGGTTGCATTCATTAACCCCAGATACTGTTTGTAACGGTTGGTTTGCTTCAGACTGACAGTTCCTATCTGATAGTTCATTTGGAAGCGGTAAGGGCAGAGCCAGTTGATCAATGATCACGGCATGGTTTTGATCAGATGTTCCGTTTTTGGTAGCATTGACAATTCTTTTCTCTTCAGGCCCTGGCAGAGCAAGCCTCGCACTGCATTAATATTTTATACAGGTTATCTAAATAGTCATTGATATTCTCTATTATCTTATCAGCAGAGCATGCTTAATGAAAATAATTAAATAAATAGGTTCACGATAGCCCTAGTCATGAAAATATTGCTTATTTAAGGGCATCTTCCTGTCAAACCTTATCTTTGTATGGTGAATTCATATTTGCCATTATTTTTTCAGCAGGACACGCTAAAGGAAATAATTAGGTTGACAATTTCCCTATTCATGGAACACCTTCTTGTCAGAAAATCCACATATCTTGTTCTTGTCAAATTCTTATCTCTGTACGATGACTTCATATCTTGATTTATTCGTATGTTCAGTTGAATATTTGGCTTCCTAGGGCATGATTTTCAATCCGAATTTAAGGATGAGTACAGAAACTGTTCTAGATGGTAGCACACTGACACAAGTGCATCTGCTCACTGGAAGTACATTTAAAAAGTTAAATGTTGAAATCTTTTACAATCGAACCTTGCAAATGCACTGGCAAAATGTCTGCATTCTCCTCTCATTGGACATGCATTGCAGTTTGGTTTGCCTTTTGTACAGAAAACCTGCATTAATCTCAGAGAATGTTTTGATGTCAGATTTAGATTGTTGCTGGTCAGCAAAGGAAATAAATTTCTCCAGTTTAAGTACACTATACAGCACACCTTTCCAAATGTGATCATCTGATAATGTAGCTCATACCTGTTCAGTAGATAGTTTAACAAGTTAGAAAACATGAAGCTCTGATAAGAAATTTGTTTTGCTTTTGGGAAAATGCATTTTCTTGAGTCAAGTAATGAAGTGAAGTGGTTCTTTACAATGTTCTTTGATCCAGTTTGCACAGTCGGGGCCATAGATATTTTTGAATGGATTCCAGGATGGGATACCTAATTAGGCAGAACAAATCAGCAGCTTTCTTGTAAAGTGTAGTGCTTGTTTCTGAATTTGTTGCTTGATAATTAATAATACTCACAGCTCTAGGAGATGCAATTGAAGGGACTCTGGCAGTGGTTGAAGGGGGACCCATCCCAATCTTACTGCTATGCGTCCAACATTTGTGTCAACCTGTTCAGCAAATATGGAAGTTGAATTATGCTTTTTTCTGCCATGGTTATTTACACAATTGATTAACTTACTGGAAAAGCGAGATGGTGAAGTGTCAGAAGCCGCACGCACTCTACACTTTTTAGCCCCAGTCCTCTTATACTTAGCAAGTATTCTCTACAACAAAGAAAAAATGTTTAAGCCGTTTTCCAATTTGTTACAAGCATCTAAAAGGTTGAGATGTGACGTTCTTTGATTTAGATATGCATGCAGCATACTAATACAATACATGTAAAAAATGGTCTTCTGAATGCATTTAGGTACTCTCTTGCTGCCTTGGGCTTACTTTGCTTTGTCTGGCGGAACATCCCTCAACCACTCCAGGTCAATGCTTCCATGATCTCTAACCAGTCGGTTGAGGAAATCCTGTATGAACTCATTTACGATCAGCTGTCATGCATTTGACTTACTGGTAAATTTGGTAATTCACCTTACAATGTTATAGTTTTACCTTTATTCGCTGAGCAAGCACGTTATTCATCCCTCGTTCCTTAATTGTCTCTGCTACCTCATTTACATCTGCACACCTCACTGCTTCCCAGTCTAGTGAGTCCATTGTTCTCTCTGTTTTTTCTCTTTTTCTTCCATTTGCTTCTGCCTGTTTTCTTAAGCTATCCCAGTCAAAATCCTCTTTTTTCTCTTTCTTGACCTTTCTGCCTTCTGACTTTAAGCCCTCGACCATCAAATTGAGCTCCTTATTAGATGACGAGTCATGAGCATACAAGTTTGACTCTTGCATTTTCTGTTGTGGGGTTCTTTGATTATCAAATGCAGTAGTGCTTTCTATAATATCTAAGGTTTCTTCTGAATGTTTTGACATATTTACACGCCTCAACTTTTCTTTGTTTTGTGCATCAGCCGATGATTCAACAAGATTTATAGTGTTGTGAAGCGCCCCCTTTTGACAGTGGAAAAGTGTCATCTCATCTTCTTGAATGCTGTTGCTTGATTGATTATTTTCAAAGGAAGATTGTTGGGTCACCTGCACACACACAGTCTTATCCTTTTGATCCATTGTTTGATATGCAGATTCTTCTGTTAAGGGACTTTGTCTTTCTATCATGTTCTCATCTTTTGTCTTAGAAGCCTCAGACAATCTTGTTTCTTCTTTGAACGTCTGTCCAATTTCTCTTACTTCTGAGTTTAGAATATGATATGGATGATAATTAGCTGATGGCATAAGGTCTTCCCTATTGAAGCTTTTAGGACCAGAGTTGTCGCAGTTTTCACCCTGGTGGTTCTGGAATTGGCTTGTTTTGACCTTTGAGATTTCATTAGTAGACATGTTTTGATAACTGTATGCTTCATGCAACCTATCTAATCCAACCATCTGCAAAAGCTGTACAAAAGAAGTAGAGCTATTCAAGATGTCAAACATTGGCTGCTTAGTATGATCACCCCCTTCAGAGTTGCTCTCTGAACATGATCCTGTTCTTTCAGCAGTTTGAACCAATGAAAAGTCAACCGAGTTTTCAGATGAAACGACGGAATTTTGAGATGAGAGAACAATGTCATTCGTCTCTTCCTCTCCTTTGGAACATTCACTTTTTCCCTTGATAGTTTCCATGTTCATTCTGTTCAAAGTGGAGTCGCAATATGTACCCAAACCACTTCCAGAAGAGCTCAACGACTTGCACTTTGGATCATTTATTGAGCTTACAGTTGCAGTACTACTTCTAGACAGTTCCTTGCTGTTGACAACCTCTTTTTCTTCTGAGTCTTGATACCCATCAACAGTCATCGAACCCTGGTCACCAACTGGTTGAATTGCTGTACTGTCTTCTGGCTCCAAGATATAGAACTCTGCTCCATTTACTAAGCTTGTTCCCTCTTCATGATACAACTTATCTTTATTTCTTGATTTGAGAGGAAAATGAGCAGCAAGAGACATGAATGCAGAACTGGCAAAGGTTGAACAAAAATTAAAATATTTCCCTTTGCTGTTTGGGTCATTAAATTTCTTAGGGCCTTTAGCTTACCTAGAAAGATGGTCAGAGACATTCTGAGTAAGAAAGACTCCAATAACAGAGTCCAGGACTGATCCTTTCCATGGAGAGAAGCGCCTATCCCCTGCAAAAATGGCATTGTACTCATGAAGAAAACAAAGATAATAATTCAAGGAAGTGTGATAATGTCTTCTAAATTATATTATATGAACATGAAACAAGTTATCTGAGATAAATGTCAAGGCAGATCTCATCATACTTTCCTGTTATACAGAAATACTTTTTGCAGTCTATGTTGTTATAGAGAAATGTTCCCCTTTCCCCATTCAATTCCCTTTTTCTGATCACCTCTGTATAGAGTAGAATCCTTCTCTTTCTATTTATATTGGCGTTGATTACTAGGATAGAAAAAGTTAAAGTGTCTTTATAGCAATAATATTTACTGGAATCTCATTTCACAGCAAGATAAATTCTAGTATTCATTAAAATAATCTACCTAATTAAATGTTTTAGCAAATCTTGCAAAATATTTTCTCTAGAGTGCTATCAAGGAAAATATTAGAAAACTATGTCACCTTGTACAAGGTGCATGCGCGCAATAAATGAGTCTGCACGTCCACTGAATACTCTCCTTTCTTCCTCCCACCATTTTGCCTTCTCTTCATCAGTTCCGTTTATACCTTCACTATTGATATTTTCTAAGAGAAGCTTCCAAACTCTATTTGTTTCTTCATCCAGGTCAACCTTAGGCCGTGGGCGTCTTTTTCTAGTAGGGCCGAATGGTACTATGGTTCCATCTCTATAAACAACAAGTGCATTGCGCTCTTGGTACCTGATAGTATAAGGGACAAGTGCATTGTGCTCTTGGTATCTGATAGTATAAGGGACAAGTACATTCTGCTCTTGATATGCAATTCCACTACCTTCCCTATTGATGTCCAATCGGTTGAACTGTTCAAGAAGTGCATCAACAGAAAAATATTGTTTCCATACTTCTTCTGGAAAGCAACCTGCATCAAGTTTCTTGTGCATTTTTGTTTCACTCGTACTAGAGTATGCTGAATTTACAAGGGAGTTTCTCTTCTTTGATTGCTTTGTTTTTTCCAGTTTTCGCTGCACTTCTGTGACAAGGGGTTCTATGCTTGTATGAGGTCTGCTTGTGTTTCCAATTTCTCGTAGGCCATAATCAACAGGTGACTGACTGCTGCAGCATCCTGGGCTTTTACATTGTGCAATTATTGAAGCTAGATCTTGAATCCCTGTGGCTCCTCTGATTCTCTTTTTCTTTGGATCCTCTGTTTGATTCGGAGCCATGATGCAGTTAAAAGTTTGCAATTCATTCAGAGAGAAGTTCCTTCCTGCTTTCAATTTTGTTGAAACCTCACCATGGGTACTTAGTTCATTCTTATCTGCCAGACATACTTCTGCAGGAGCTAGATTTTTTAAAGCAGTGATGAATGATGATGCACTGGATGTGGCCAAATTTTGTCCTTTCTCAGTTCTCTTTCTCCCCTGAATTTTTGGTAATTGCATCCCTAGAATCATCTGGTACGCAGAAATATTGTTGTATCGACTCCCATATGAATTTATGGCAGTGGCGTCTGCTTGTTGAGTATCCGCTAACTTGTTTGCTTGACCTCCCTCCGGTAGCAAGCTCCTCCTACAATTAGTGTCAATTGGACTTCTTTCTGGCAACTGAGCATCGGATTCCAATGCAGTTAGTCCATCATGGGAAGTGGCTTTACCTTTTCCTTTCCCATTATTGAGCTTCTGGGGATGAGTGTTTCGTCTTCTATGGGATGGAGCATTCTTGGTTGGAAGTGGTGTGACCGGTGCTTGATCTTCAGGAAAAGACAAGTGATCTTTCGTTGTTTGATTTACAGATTGGTTACTTTCAAAGTCAATGCCTGTTTGTGTCTTTTCTGCTGCCATTTCAATTCTGCCACAAAGCTGAATCATTGAGCCCAATTGACTTCCTTCTTTCCACAGGTTTTCAGTCCCTGAACTTGAGTTTATATTGCAGGCTGGCTTGCTAGCAGAGGTTTCATCTCTTTCTTTCCCTTCTTTGCCAAAATCTAAAGCCCTCCTGCATGATTTCTTATTATGCTCGAGTGTTTCTGGATGAGTAGTCCCCTTTCCACTTTCTTCTTGTGTGGGAACCGTGGAGTCTTTGTTGAGTCCCTTTCTTCGCACATACTTCCTCTTCCCTGTCGGTTTCTCTGCATTTGCTTCTCTTGGGAAGATTGATGTGTCATTTTTTACTGTATTTTTTCGTACATATTTCCTCTTACCAGTGGGGTTTTCTTCTGAACCGCCGGGCTTTGGAGTCGCTGGCGTTCTAGGCTTTCTAGGTTTGCTCTCAGTAATTACCTTTGGCATGTACTTTCTCTTCCTTTGTTTTGGTTGTGGTGTTGCACCTTCTAGTTCAGCAAGATGGCCACCTCCATGTTCAGGATTCTGAATTTCCTTGGCTGTAGTAGTTGTCAGGGATGACTCTAAAACAGGCGTCTGGAGCTCTTTACTGCATTGAACTCCATCCACCCTAACATCATCCAGTTCATTTGCTTGCTCATCATTCTTCTCAGTTCTGATCTCTACGTATAAATTTCCCATTGCCGAAACTTCTTTCATTTCTGCTCTCGTGGCCTTTTCTGGTGTGACGGGGGCAAAGTCGGAGATGCTCATCTGAGAAAATGCTCCCCTCGCCCCAGCAGCAGGCAGATTTAAGTCATAATCATATGGATTCATAAGAGGAATTCCATCTGCAAACAATGTAAGTTTAACCTCGTTAATGTGATTAAATGACGGAATCTTGAACTTGGCACAAGGAAGGAGACAGTGTAGAAACTCTCTAGAAGAAAATTGTTTGTCCAATAAGTTGCAGAAATTGTGTGCATTCCGGTTTTAGTTTTAAGTGACTTGAAGAAATGCAAATTTTATGCTCGATAAAACAGCCGGTGCAGGAAAATGGAAGGGTGATGGCTGCTAGTCTAACATTTCCATTACCATTCATCTTACTAGACTCCCATTGTTAATTCTTATTATTTCAGTTTCACATTTTATCTGTAATGCTAATTTTAACTCTCTCACACAACAACTAGATGCTGTAATTGAAAATATAAATAGCATACTTAGTGAACAACAAAAGTCTTGAACTTAATTCTTACTTTGATGTGTTCTCGGCATGCAAATGTCACCAATCAATAGTTTGTCTCGATCTGAAAATTTTACAGGCACACCAAAGAGTACGCCAGAGCTACATTCGGTATGGTGTCCGGTAATTTCCTCTGATGCTGCACTCGTAGACGCATTTGCGAGAGCCGATAGATCTGCAGAAGAAACATTGCCGACTGCAGTTGGGTTCAGGTGGCACCGCCGGGGACCGTTGGTAACACCCGAAATGAACTCACTGCCAAATGAAGATGCCTTCAAGGTATTACCGATTCCATTCACCTCAATGGAACTCGAGGAATCGGAACATGCAATTACTCCATCAGTTTGAGGTTCTTGAGCAAACCCCAAAAAGCATCTTTCTAAGTCTATACAATTTGCAGGAAATATCTTATTCTCATTCATCGCAGCACGGACCAGTGGTGGTTCTTAGCCTTGTTTGTTCATTCCGATTGCTCTTTGCTCGAAGTTTTCATAGCAAAACTCAATGTTCTCCAGAAATTTTATTGAGGTAACCTTCCTTCACTGTGAACCTCATTTTATTGAAACCTATTTCTGCTGGGTGAAAGGAAGGAAAAAGTAATCAGCATAGCTATTACAGGCAGTAACATAGTGCCTTGTTTGAGAGGTTTAAGAAGTACCCTAAAAAAAGTACCCTAAAAAAAACCCAGAATTCTTAAACCCCTGAAAATGCTCCTTAAACTGATAGATCTCAAACAAATTTTATCGAATAAATATTCAGTGGCTGTTAAATTTCTGACTTTATGGATAAAAGATATCAGCAATCTTAACAGATTCTTCCTGTAATCTGCATTAGATAGCTTTGGAAATTAGATAAAAAAATCCAAACGAAAAATCTAAGAATTACCAGGAAAGTGTGCCACGGCTGGAGATCTGATTCAATCACTTGAAGCCTAAGGAAATGTGAATAAAGTCGTTCCTTGAAGTGAGAGAAAATAGGGAAAGATAAAACCAAACAGAAAGACCATTTCATTCGTATAATATTAGTCCATGTTAGCTTTGAAACTCATAACTTCTTTTCCCGGTTCAGACATCGACCGTTGTATTTCATGTTCTATTCATTAAATAAAGATCGAGTATATATATATAAATTATAGTTAGCTCGATGGCAAATGTTTGTATAAATTAAAGTGAATATATGTTCATCTTGAAATTTAGATTTTATTTATTAATTATTTATTTTATTAAAATTATTCACGATAAAATTTTATTTATATTCACCTTATATAATATTTTTTATTATTAATATATATATCCATCATAAAAAATATTTTTGAATTCATTACCGTTCAGCAGGAGAACATTATGAGCTCCCGCTCAGGACCCATCTTTCATCTTCATAATATAATAAAATAATATGTTTGATAAAGTTAATTAGATTTTTATAGTTTATTAATAAAGTATTAAATTAATTTTTTTAAATAATATTATATACTTTCATTTGTTTTATAGAGGCTTATTTTTATAATTTTTATTCGGTCCCGAAAATGTTTGAGTCAAAGTCGTCCTATAATTATTTATTAAATTCAATCGTTAATTTCTATATTATATTTGGGGGCAAAGTCGTCCTATTAAGTTGGCCAATGAGCAGGGTGTGTGAGGTATCGAGGCAGGACCCAGACACGTGACTGAACCAAGAATCAAAGAAGCGTCGTGGCGGGTAAGTCTTGACACTTGGCACGTGAGAGCGTGTCAAAAGTCGATTTTAGGTAGGGGTTAGTTTTAGACGCCGTCAAATGATTCGGTTAGGGATGGCGATGCTTTTTATGGTGGGTTTTTTAAGTTATTTTTGTGAAAAAGACCTTCCAGGTCCTCTCTATTTGAAATGTTGGCAAATGGGCCCTTTTGATCCTGCCACTTTTGACAATAAATCAGGCCAATTTATCAACATATCCTACGTGATAAAAGAAAATATATATTAATAATAAAATACATGTTTTTATTGGAAAATATGTTTTTAACTTCGATTTGCCCATATAATTTAGGGTAAACTACACGTTTAGTATCTAAATATCAGTTTTGATCTGTTTTAGTGTCATTTTAGTACTATTGTTCAAAATTTAATGTTAAATTTTGAATTTATTTTGAAAGTTTAGGTACTAAAATGGATTAAAACTGATAGTTTAGGTACTAAACGCGTTAAGTTTTTAATGGCAAGTTCTAAAATGAAACAAAAACTAAATGTTAGGTATGATTTTGAAAAAATTGAAAGTTTTAGTTACTATAACGGATTAAAATTGAAAGTTTAGGTACTAATTATATAGTTTACCCTATAATTTAAAATGTGCACTTATTTTACACCTAATAAAAATAAAATGATCCAAAACATAAGGGAAAAAGAAATAATTTACCGATTTAAAGTGTCATATGATCTCTTTAGTAACAACTAATGACGTAGCGTATAATTTATAATAAAATCTAAATTCTAATATTTATTTTAAAATAATTTGATTATCGTTTTGCACTTTACCCGTCTTATTATTAATTTTTCTGATTTGTTCATTGTTAAAGTTGATGAGAGAAATATTTTTCTTTTGCTCGAGTGGACCCATTTACTAACTTTGAAAATTGAGGGACCTGAAAGATTCTTTTTACCACCTCTTTTAGCTCTTATGTGATCACCGTTAATTTATGTTGGGTCCTCGATGACGCCGTTTGTGGTCCCCCTTCGGTGGAACAAAGCTGCACGCTTTACTAATTGTTGGTGGGTGATTTTCAATGCACCTCTTATGATTCTCATCCAACCTGGTCAGGGAATTCATGATTGGTCACAATATAGATAATGCGTTATTCGAGATTGATTTGAAATGACCATCCAACTCAGTTGGTAGAGTACAATGTTCTTAATCTTGGGATCGTGAGATCGAGTTCTACGGAGGGCATTTTATAATTCGGAGGTCTCCTACAGAAACTGCTCTCAACCTGGTGTTGGGGACAACCTACTATCATACCTCTCTCTTACCCCATTACATATAGGAATAAGAGTCAGTTAATTTTTTAGATTAAAATGGATCTGAATTTAGTTCGAATTTGACTCAAATTTTTAAAGAACCAAAATGAGCTATTTAATATCGATTCAAAAAGTTCATGAGCAAATCGAAAATATAATATATTAAAATTTTATTTTTTAAAAAATAAATATTACTAATATTAAGTTTTGATTTTTTTAAATACAATACAAGATTTTCATATATTTAAAATTCAGTTTCGAATTTAAAGTTTCAATCGAGTTAAGTTTAAGATTTTTTTTTTCATTTCGAGTTTTTTGAGCTTTTACGAATTTCAATTCATAGTTTGAATTCGAGTTGAGTTTGAAAATTTTAAATTTATGAGTTTTCACACCAAATCGTATTCTATTTTAAAATTTTCAAATCAAATTAAACTTAATAATATTCAAACTTGACAAAAACCTGTTTATGTTCCTATTCATGATAGATGATAGTTTGTTGATAATTAATTCATTCAAAATTTTGCATGATACATGCAGAATAAAAGACGTGAGTGTGAGTGTCTTACATTATTTTTTAAAATAAAAAATAGATTGTTGGCAGAATAAAAGACGTGTGCGTCTTACTTTAATTTTATAAAAGTAGATGGTAAATGACTCGAGATTCGATGAAAAAGTTTCTATTTACTTTTATATTTTTAAAATTATATATTATTATAATAATATTTTAAAGTTATATTTGAAGGTTTATTTTTAGGGTAAATTGTGAGTTTAATACTTAAACTATCAATTTTAGTCTTTTGTAGTATTTAAATTTTTAATTTTTTAAAATAATACTTAAAGTTTAGTTTTTATTTCATTTTAATACTCATTCAAAAGTAAACGTTAGGTTTAGAAAAAAAATTTGAAAGTTTAGATACTAAAACAGAAAAAAAATTAATAATTTAGGTACTAAACACGTTAATCTTTGGTTCAAAACTACGAGGCCACTCAATTTATTTGTATATATCATATACATTAAAATGTTACACATTAGAAATATCTTCTTAATTAGTTCAAAAAATATAGAATCAATCGGTCAACAATCTGTAGAGTAGGTAGTTAAAAAAATTTCATTTGATATTTTTTCTCTGTCTTAAATTGTGACTTCAATACGTATTGATCGTAAAGCATATAGAAATAATCTAAATGAAAATTGATTGTAACAGGCAAACTTTCAAGATAATATTAATCTCGAAATACATCACTAAAATAATTCATAATTATATATGGATACGAGTTATCTCTACCCCAAATACTCGATCGTAATTTCTAGGAATAACAACCAACCATATGCAGAGGTCCCACATGGAGCTTCGGCCTTAATTTGGCCATGATTTAGAAGGGAAAACGTCAAAGACCAGAAGTTTTAATGGAACATCTGAGTTTACAACAATGGAAGTCTTTGTTTTTCTATTATTAACATTATTATAAGTTTTTTTCATACATATGAGGTAAATACATTATTATGAGTTAAATATATGTTATTATTGAATCTGACGGGTTTCAACCCGACACGATAGGGTTGGATTTTTTTCAAAAGAAAATTGAGGTTTAGGTCGGGTCGTGTTGGATTTTTAAGGGGGAGGTCAGATCGGGTTTGGGTGGAGCGTGAAAAAAACTTTGATCCGACCCGACCCGACCCGAAAATAATGATGTAATTTCCTTAAAAATTATTATTCTTTAATTAAATCCTTATTTTATATCGGGTCAGATAGGGTGAAGATATATATCTTTCAGGTCGTGTCAAGTGAAGGATATAAAAATTTTTGGATCGGATTCGTGTGGATGACATATATTTTTGGGTCGGATAAGGTTGACCAAAAACCCGAACCTAATCCCATCCATTGCCATCCCTATGGGATAGTGTGGGATAGTTAGTGCGGATTTGGGATGGTTAATAAGAGTTTGAAGTTAGGGTTTTGAGATTGAGATTATGATTGAGTGATTTTAATTTTATTTTCTCATTTATTTTAAATTATATTTGATATTAAGTATTAATAAAAAAAACTTATGTCATAATAGAAACAATAAATAGTCAACCATCATAAAAAAATTATAATTTAAATTGTGGAGGGACTAAAACAAGAGTAATTCACAAGTATACTGATTTAACTGAAAATGGTGAAACTTGAATGATCAAAATAAGAGTAAGATTATAATTTAGTGGCAAATAGTGAAATTTACCCATATATGTAAAAGAAGGAAAACCCGAATTTCAAAGTACCTAATACGGATACGGTACTCCCGCACAAAATCAAAGAAGAGAAGATTTTCTTCTATATCATAGCACTAGCTGCAAGATCAAGAAATTCTTCGAATTTGACAACCTATATCTTCATTCATTTATTTATTATTTTTCTTCATTTTCTGGGATTTGGAAGAAAAAGGGAAATGGGGGACAACAAGGAGGAAGAAGAGTGGACCGGGAGTGAGAGCGGGGATTTGACATCGGACGACGAAGGGACGGAAGATTACCGGCGGGCGGTTATCACGCGGTTAGAATCGTTACGAGACACTTTCAAGGACGGTCGTTACGTACGTCGTACAAAGCAAGCTCGGTTGGGGCCATTTCTCCACCGTTGGCTCGCTTGGGACACTCAGCGCTTGTACACTTCTTTCTCTCTATCTCTAGCAGATCTTGCTTTGTTTACCCAGTTAATCAGTTCATTATGATGTCTTATAATGAAATCCGTATAGTTGCTTTTTTTGCTCTAATTCTTTTGTTATTTCATTAATATTTGGTTTTTTTCCTGTTGATCCTGTAATGATAAAAATATCCCAAAAAGAACATTGATCATTTATTTGGGTTACGAGTTCTAAACTAACTACTTGATACTCGACTCGAAAAGCTTGTGAGCAACTCGAAAATATGATATGTTAAGATTTTATTTTATTTTTTAAATACATTTTTAATAATATTAATATTTATGTGTTGATTTTTTTAAACGCATTACAATGTTTGTTGCATTTAAGGTCCATGTTTGAGTTCAAGTCTTTAATCGAGCTAAGTTTAAGATTTTTTTTTAGT